TATCAAATCGTAGGAATGAGAAAAATTTGTATCAAGAAATTAGAAATTAAGTGAATTCGAAATTCCCGCCATTCTACAGGTTGATTGCGCGCGAAAAAAAAAAAAAAAAACATGTGAAGCGCGCCGTACACGTGGTACAAATGAAACTTCTTAAAAACCGAATGAGGGAGATTGAAGGTGCGAGAGAGGGAAAGAGAGAGAATTTCAAAATAAATATGCTTTTCAGATATTATTGGCGTAGCATTATCCATGGAAATTTGACAGGTTGCCCTCGTATCATAATGACATTTGATGACAATGTAATTTTTTAAATTTCAGGGTTATAAAACAGAAAGCCGAATTGCCAGAATGTGTAAAATATCTGAGTAGATTAATTTCCAAAATATGTTTCCAAATTAATTTAAAAAAAAAAAAATGGGTACTTAGTAAAATTATCAAATTTATTTGAAATAAAATAAATCCAACGTAACCATAACAATGAGCTTAACAGCATAAATATGTTTTCGCAGTAACTATTTTCTCGGGTTTCGTCTAACAAAAATATTGGTTGCTGGTTATGAGAAATGGCTTTACATCTATATTTAAACTATACCTACCCCAAATGTCTCTGGTAGTTGGGCTCCAATTATTATTCCCTGAAGAACCTCTCTTTTCTCGAAATAGCCGTAACATTTTATTATTTCCCATTTCCCTTATTTTTTCTTGAGAAATTATTTTGGGCATCTTAAATATGAAATAAATTTGACAATGCCGAATTTTGAACAATGTCAATGGATTTTGCAGGTATGCAGAATAGTAAGGTGCCGTTTATATGTTGCACTATTAAAAAATAATATTGACAAATGTGTCAAATTTGATTGGCCAGATAGGCCAGAGAATTTCAATACTGCGACACTTACGAAATTATGTGAAACACACTTAAAACTGTCTGGAATTTGACATATATTGTCATTATTATACGAGGGTCAACCTGTCAAATTTCCATGGATAATGCTACGCCAATAATAAGTGAAAGGCAAATACAACAGTATGTAGAGTGTGCTCTTTTTATCTTGATAACAGTTTAATAGTAGATTATACCACGAGTCAATAATGATAGCTATTATTCCCGAGGATTATTACGAACTGAGCCGCGTTCCGAGGGAATAATAGCCATTATTGCGAGTAGTATACTCTACTTTATTTACGACAAATTAATTTATTTGAGATTTTCAATGAACAAATTTCATCCGTCTCATAATTTTCAATACAAATCCACAAGCACTACACGTTTGACACTGACACTTTTGTGGAATAATGACCATTAATCCCGCTACTCGTCATTAATCCCTGGAGGAATAACATATGTCATTATACTGCCAAAATCACAAATATAATACGCACATTATACATTAGTCGTAAATAAACTGTCGTAATTTATTTATTTTTGAAGTTATTTAAATAAGTAAAAAAAGCACAGGACACAAATATGTAATTATAAATAACGAAAATAATCACAAAACGCAATGTTTTGTAGTATAACAAAGGGAGACGCGCATCTATAGTAACGTGACATCAAATAGTATCGGCGCTGGTCAATAATAGGCAATCGTTTTTAGGCTGATAATCTTTGGTTTCTATCAATCAATAGCTGTCTTTCTCCGTCTCTTTACGTTTATCTTTCTTCTCTCTCGAGTAACGAAATTTCCCCGTAACGTGTATTTCAAATTACTCTACATTAGTTGCATTCCTTTTACACCTAAGAGGGGCTCCGGAACAGCTCCGGGGTGCTACGCATTTATTTCCTTCGCAAAGTGTTTGTTGCACCAATGTCGTTGATTGTTCCCCGCATCTCTCCCTTTAAAACCGTTGTCGAGTAACACCGGAGCGAGTAGCTCCAGTGTTCCAAATTCTTGAAAGAAATACAATTATTGTCGTCCAAATATCACGCCGCTTAGAAGTTTGACTTCAATTACTTGATTCAAACAGTAAAAAAACTAATAAAATAAAAAATATTGTTTTCAATGTATTTCTGACAGGGGGTGCAAGTGCACCCTCTTCCACCCTGCTGCCGGCGCCCATGGCGCCGTCCATGATCGTCGTAGACATCTTTAATTTTAGAAAACACTTATGGTCAATTTTTATACTTTTCAAATGTTAATTAACTTCTTTTTGGCAATTTTCAAGGTCAATACAGGTCATATCGACCTGGAAATATTCTAGTTGTTTTCTCCATCCTCGAATTCTATAGAATCGAGTATAATATCGCCCATTTTGAAAAAATCGAAAATTTGGGACATTTTTTGTCCGCCATTTTGGAAAAAGGCGGGTATGGGGTTTCCTACGGGTCCAGGAGGAAGGCTTATCGCGTCAAATCTCTTAAAACATCTTCTTTTTTAACATAACTATTCCAAATTTCATACTTGTATCACAATTTGGCGTTTTTTTTCTCGAGGGAAATGGACTATACCCACCCTAAGTTATTATTTTTTCATATACGATTTTGAGATATCGGTGCTAAGAGTAAGCAAGATTTTCAAAACTAATCATTTTGACTATCTCTAGACAAAATCGAGGACAAAATAATTCTGTCATAAAAGTCTCATAGATACACATCGGAGCTGAATGATTGCACATATCAAACGTTTGCCAGAATCTACAGCGCGATGTTCTTTCAGGAGTTATGCCCCATTTTCTGCCCCTCGCGGTGCGCCGCTGGTAGATTCTAAGAAAGAAAATAATTTTTCTATCTTATTTAGAAACTTTTTGTTCTCTTGTAGTTTTTTCGTATCACCGATCCTTATCGGACTTGCCCCTCGCCGCCATATTCTTGCCCATTTTCAATATGAACACATTAAAATTTCAACACCCTGTAGATCGGTAATGGAGCATTTGCGAATCTATGTTTATTAGAAATTTTAGTCATGAAATAAACCAAAAAATCATCCTCGTCCATCTGTACATGATATTCAGGAACACCCTGTATATGAAGATAATGAAACCGCCTTCGACTTTTGCCTCAAAATTTCTGCCCATTGATCAAAAAGCAATCCGAAACGGATTCACGTGATCGACTTGAGCAATAAACGCTCTCAAATCTCACACGGAGCGCTATTTCTTGCTCCGTCAAATTCGATAGATCAATGATTGATCAAAACAAAACAATTAAAGTACGTTCGGCTATTGATTTCAAATAGGGCGCCCTCGCTTGGATCATAATCGCTCTCGGAGCACTTCCGCAGAGATCTGTGACGTCACCGCCCAAATAGAGAGCGCTCTGGGAGCAGTAAAGCCGAAAATGCTATAAGATAATACTGTTACGTCGGTTGAATGGCATTGAGTGCGCAAACAAAAATAAGTTGGGGTATGTAGTGGTGAGAAGCAAAAAAAAAAAACTTTTAGGGTGGACCACCGTTATCACTTAGGGGTATAAAAAATAGCTTAAAACCTATTCTCAGACTTACCGAATATACATAAAAAAATTCATAAAAATCGGTGAAGCCGTTTCGGAGGACGAAGGTTACTAAAACTGTGACATGAAAATGTAATATATTAGATGTGAAGGGAAATCGAAGAGCTATCCAACCATGTGGCATGTGCAACGCAAGGCAAGGTTCGTTTAAAAAAAAAATTAGGGTAGCTATCCCTAAGGGGTGACTTAAAAAGTGCCTCATTTCAGTTCCCCCTCCAATCCACCGATACGTATTTGAGAACTTCCTGGGTCCCTATTCTTGAAACAGAGGAGCATCAGCATTCCCAGGAGAACGAGTGTTCCGTCTTTCTCAATGATATGCAAATGACGATATAAGTAACAAAGACGGAGCACTCGTTCTCCTGGAGCCGTATTCTTGAATTTCTGGGAGGAGAACTTACTCGGGAAGTGGACGTGGTTCACCTCAAAAAGGTACATGTAATATTCTTGAAAATGGGACTGTGAGATAAAAGTTCCCGGGAATTCTGAAGTTCCCATCCTCTTACCCAAGAGAAAACGAGTTCCCGTCAGGGTCTCTAACCTCAAGACTTGACGTTGTTTTCAAGCTTGACGTTTTCGTTTTCTCCTTTCAAATTCAAGGTTTTTTCGTTTTTGTATGCGTTGTGTCTTTTCATTAAAATGAATGTAGATGTGGATTATTTTATTGAGATTATCTTGAATAACATACCTAACATAATCCAAGAAGACATGAAAAATGCTTCAGAAGCAAAGGAAATAGGATGGGATGTTCTGCCTTTTCCATTGGCCAGAAATTCGTGAAATTTTTTAGAGTAAGCAAAAATGTATGCCACGAAATAGTGGATATGGTTACTCCCGTATGTTACCGCTCCAAGGCGAGTCTCGGCTTTAACCAAAACTACAAAGGTAGGTATGCATTGAACACTGTATTCCAGAAGTTGATGAGCCAGATGAAGTTCAGGAGCAGGAATAAGGAATTTATGCTGCAGAAAAGTATGCGGAAATTTCCCTCATGTATAAAATATCTCATAAGAGGAATGCAGTTATCGAGAACTTACAGCGATGATGTTCATAGGCTAGTTAAAAATAAATATATTATCGAACCCAAATGCCTTTCAGCTTTCAAAGTTTTGAAAAATAGACAATAATAAATATCAAACGTGGGGTTAGATATTGAGTTAGATAACTTCCTCTTCCTTTTTACGCTTGAAACACGTTTTGGTTAGTTTGATTGACACTCTCATAGGCGGCAACATTGTGAGCGCTTGTGGGTATTCAAGAATACGACCTCTTAGATCCCGGGAGCGAAAGTGAACTAGCTTTCCTGGGAACGTTCCCAGGAACACTCCCTTCCCGGGCAGTCAAGAATACGGGGCCTGAGATCGCTGCTCCCCTGTTTCAAGAATAAGGACCCTGATAGTATTTTTCGTCTTAAAGATATTATTCCCGATCGCTACTTTTGAAATTGTCACCCTTTATAATAATAATAATATTTATACATATTTATAAAAATTACATTGTAATGAATGTTGAAGTAGCCCGTAAATACCATGGACATGTAAATACTCACGGTTTTCGGCCACGTCCTTTCAACGCCTCTCCAGTATATATTCTCTTGAATTCCTTGTCAAAGTAACAATCTTGCCAGTCACGTTTCTCTTTCGGACCACCAGCCAGCAAATTTTTTCCTTTTACTCTTTTAGGCTCTGGAATCAACAAAATTCCGAATCAATCCCCGTATCCTCTTTTAAGCCCATTGGTGCGGTGAAAGGAAAAAAACACAATTCGTATTAATATAACAAGGAACCAGCACAGGTGGCAGGGAGAGCCTTTCTTCCCTATATCAAAAATGTCACAGATCGCATAGGACGAACGCTAGAAAGACACAACATTAAGCCTATCTACAAGCCCACAAAAACACTTCAGCAAAGTCTAAGATCAGCCAAGGATCCTAGGGCACCTCTTGAAACGGCTGGCGTCTATAGAATTCCCTGCTCTTGTGGATCTGTCTATGTGGGAGCTACGCAGCTACGAAACGCTCTATCAACACCACGGTCAGAGAGCACAAAAGAAACTGTCAGCAGGGACAAATAGATAGATCAGCAATCGCCGAACACGTGCTAACGCAAACAAACCATGTCATTCGTTTCGACCAGACTCGAGCATTGGATAGAACCAAACATTTTTACACCAGACTCCACAGAGAAGCTATAGAGATACAGAAACACCACGACAACTTCAACAGAAAAGAAGAGGGTATGAACCTCAACAAAAGCTGGTTGCCAGTTCTCCGAAAAACAAAGATCCTTCCTTTCCGAGAACGAGACAAGGAAAATAGCTCAATACAAGCCACGCCCACAACCCGGGATATAAATAACGCAGGCCCAACAACGTCGAATTCAGTCATCGGAGAAACACGGAAGAGAACACTTCGTCCTCTACCACACCGCCTCTGAAGATGTCCACCGCAGCAGTAGACGAAACGTTAGGTAGAAATACTCATGGACCACGGCATTATAGCCCGGAATAAACTTTTTTTTACTAGATTTGACCGGCCGTGAAAGCCTTCATTCTTTATACAATTCGTATTATTAGGCAATTTTCTTGAGATTTAGGCATGGATGAAATACTTTTTTTTTGTATTCTGATTGCTCGCTCAGCACGCCGAATCTCAAAAAGAAGATCCTCGGAAACATGAGTCCACCAGCCACCAATTTTTATACTGAAAATTGATCTGAAAACTAGGTAAGGTTCATTTCACGAAGGTTTGTGCTTATGACATCCATAATGTCCAAAAATCTGTGGTCCATAGCTTGGAATAAAAGGTTTGTCGTAGATTGATTCATATAAATTCAATAGCGTTCAGATTTTGCATTGTATTGAATGACTTGTTTAAAAACCGACGAACGTTTTTGACGTCATTAATTTGTTTGTCAATTTTTTATTTGTTAATAAAGGAAGGCAAAAGTACAATCCTCGTGAAACAAACAGTACTTTAACGTTGAGAATGCAGCTTGTTAGAAACTACGTGTTTCACCACACAAAATATTTTCAATATAGTAACTGAGTACCTATCAAAAAAGTAACCATTATTGTCCTTACTTTCATACATGGGCACATATCCTTTCCCATTCATGAAAGGCATCTCACTAAACAGCCCCAGCCTTTCAATATCGGGTTTTCCATATTCGTTCCCCAGTTCTTGCACTGGTCGGGCAGCTTTTCCCATGGTGATGCCTTATTATGAATAATTATTTTTATGTTGTTATCAAAGAAAAAGTTATAGATTTGTCTGGATTTGTCAACGCAAAATTCTGTGCACAAATTCTGTGTTTGTCAAAAATAATTTATAGACCGTCAGCTAATGACAGATTTTGCTGACCGATTTTCTCTTCTCGGGTATTTCAACTACTGACAACCAACTCAAATGTTTTTTTATCGATAAAGTCGTAAAAAAAAGTTGTCGGAGTTGGATATTCGGCAGGAATGGGCAGGTAGAGAGTGGTAGTAGGTATATGTCTTAACAATTGTAGAGTTCTTCAGAGCTGAATTTATTGATTTTTCAGATTGACCCAACGTTGTTTTGAAATAACAAACCTTCTACCGTGCAAAACTCTACTAGATTTGCTCCAATTTAATTATCAACAAGAATAGAGGGTTGCATCTGCGACCGTAAAACGCTGACTGAAACTATACCATATCTCGACGTTCTGAAAAAAGTAGCATCTGATGGAGAAGAACCTCATGTTCGGTGAGACATGAAGCGGTGTCGTTATTTCACGATTGCGTTTCACCCATAAAAAGGGCCTCACAGACCACAGACTGCGTTTTTGTTGGACGGATTTGTTCGACGAACAAATCTGGTCGAGTAAAAAAGACGCACAACCGAAGTGTGTGTGCGAAAAATTGTCGTTTCTGCTGGAATACAAAACCAATGCAAATATCTGGATTCGCCTGATTTTGTCTGTTGGATATGTTCGATATGTCAACAAATCTAAAGCCTGTGGGCTACGAATTTCAAAAACGACGGTATTGTGTGGTGTGTGCAGTGAAAAAAATTAAAAACTTTCCAACATGACTGATGTTCGCCAAACTAAACCGAGGTCTGTGGGGCCTTATTCTGTTAGAAACGAACCTTTCGATTCGGTAGAATTTCTTCGATTTTGACGTCATTTTCAATTGGGTTTTGGCGCTACCAAACCGAAAATGACGTCACAATCGAAGAAATTCTACCGAATCGAACGGTTCGTTCTCAGAATAAGGCCCCTGCGTGCAACTGCGATCCGTCGTTTTTGCTCGTCGAACAAAACCGTCAAACAAAAATGCAGTCTGTGGGGGTCTTGGTATTTTGATATTATTCGGTATTCGTGACTTAGCAGAGCTTGAGAGTTATGTGAAGGCCCCTTCACAGTTATTGCAGTTTCACCAAACGACAGGTTTGAATAGGGCAAGTACACGATCTGACAGTTTGACACTATTGACAATCGCCTTGAGGTAAAACAATAGCTATTTACCTAACAAGTGCGGAAAATGAATTTTTCCGCACGCGGCTGCCGTTCACCGAACGACGTGTAGCGGATCAGAGCTGTATCAATGACCTGTACAGATTCGAAATAGTTATTTATGATTTAAGTGTTAAAAGTACATTTTTAAGGCACGCATGTGAAAGTTTGCAATTCACATAAGTGCCTTAAAAATACTTTTAACACAAATATCATACAATATTTTTTCTACAAACGGTAACAAAAAGCAATAACCAGTAACAAATTGGATTTTTAGAATGAATAATAAATTGGATGCATCTTTCTTACATAAAATTATTGAATTTGACATTCGTCAAAAAAGCCAAACAACCAGCACCTTGTTTTAGAGGTAATGAAAAGTCTTGACAGTTTCTTGAAAATCTGTCGTGGTTAGTAGTATTCTTATGTGCTAAAAATGGAAGAGAATAGGAAGAAAAAGGGGGTTGCATCCTCAGACTAATAATAAAACTAGAGACCAAACATGCCATTTAGAAATCGCCCAATGTTTACAATCAATCATCTTTTAGTCCATCACATAAGTAAGAGAGAGATAGGCCTATAAAATGGCAACACTGACGCATGTGGATTTTGCCACTACCAGTGGCGGCGGGCGTGTTGTTTTAAGAAAATATAAATCAAAATAAATAAAATTATGATTTAAGTTGTAATTATAATTTATAATTTATGATTTTGAATCCTTAAAAATAAGTATGTACCTACCTATTATATTTTCATGAAGACCTAAAGCCTTCATGCAAAAAGCAGCAAATTAATTACTAGATACAATAGGTATAAATATAAAATACGCAAGTATAAGTATAAAATGTTTATTGAAAATACAAAAAATCGTCCAATTATACAAAAGTTTTTTTTACTTGATATGGAATATAAAAGCTTACTATCATACATACATATTTGATTTATATATAGGTAAGAACAAGGTATAGTCACCGCTTAACGTATAGCTTTAAATTTTTTAACTATGTACTTAAACGACAGAGTTGATTCTTTAATTATAATATGTATTGATTCAGAAAAGAAACTTTAATTTGGTACAACCGCTGTTTTTATTTCGCTGGTTAGTGGTTTTTGAACAAAAATGACTATTGCCTCTATAAAAAAAGGAAAGCATGCAGTCTTGTATATCATACAGGATCAGTGAAAATCCTGCATAGTGGAGCTGTTAGCTCAGCAGTACTATTGCGGGAAGGCCATTCAGTCATCAGTGGCATTGTTAGAGTCTAGGCCTTTATGTATTCGCTTTGCTTGTGTAGTCGTTTCTGGTCCTGGCATTGAGGAAAATACTCTCAGGATAGTAGGGGCCGGGGGAGACTCTTCTTCAGGATCGATCTACAGTAGATTTTGATCCAAGCATTTCTGCGTGAAGTAGCAAGAAAACCTCAAAAATAATTGGTATTAGATTTGTTATGATCGTGATGAATAACTCAAAAAATGGACTGTATGAAAATAATTTACTGGAAAACTGGAGGACAATATAATTAAATTGACTAGTTCAACCACGTTGAGTGAAGCTAATGACAATTTCATAAAATTAGCATTGTGGCCATATTATTAATTAATGCTTGGCCTAGACAAGATTTTTGGTTTTTAATCTCTTTGCGTATTCAAATAATAATCAATAGGGAACTTTACAATTTTTTTTTATTAAAAGCATTTCAAACGACCTTAAATGCGCGCGAATCTGGATGACGTCACGTAGTAAGATTTTGCGTCACCTTGTCGCCAAATGTTATACTTCATTGTATTTAATTTGGTTGATTTCCACATTTTCCACCGTTATTTGTTTTGTTGTTGTTTTGTGTTGCAGCGAGTTGTAAATTTTAAAGTTATAATGGAAAAAAAGATTCGCACATAAAATGTGTTTTTTTTTTTTAAAGATAAAAGTCAAAATGACATTATGTTGGCAATACAATGTAAAATTGTCAATGATTTCAAATTTTTTATGTAGAAAAGGATTGTGTTGCCAACATAGTTACTAAATTTTTGACTTGGGGAATTATCTTTAAAAAAAACAGACTTTACTTACTTTTGCTACCATAAACATATCACAAATTACAGATTGTCGGATTGGCTTTTGGAATTTCCTTCTTCGGTCATAATTAATAGGTATATCGCTTTATTTATGTAATGCTGAGCTAATCATTGAATTTAAGCTAAGTAAACCAATTCTAATAATGATAAAATTTTAAAAAAATAGAGAAAAACGTGGATAAACACAACTAACGGGTATTTATTATGTAGAGTTCGAGCTGCTGTTTTGTTCTTTTATCCCTCCCTGTTCTTCTCATTATAAGGAAAAAAGACGAAAAATGCTCCGAGCGCTCAGTGTTTCAAGACGAACTCACGGTATGATGGACGTTTGCTGACAGACACTGACAAATCATACTAGATGACGTCACGACCAGTACCAGCGCGTTTTTTTCCGCTGGAAATAATTTGAATTTTTCCGCATTTTTAATTCCTTATTGCGGCCGTTTGTGACAAAAAAAAATTGTTTTTTTTTTCGCTGATAATGTTTTAACATAATATATTCTTATGATTTATAGTAATAATATTTTCATGTTTAAATTTTTTGTCAAGTTCCCTATTGTCGAGGTAGGAAATATTAAAATATAATGGGTAAAACATAATACCTTTTTGTAATATCTCCCATTTCTGATGCAGTTTCTGTTGTAGATCCACCAGAATCCTTATTTTTTGTATGTTGCTCAACCCTGACCCTGCTAACAAAAAAAAAATATATTTTTGATTTATTATATCTAGTAATCAAAAACGGCACTCCAATACTTTTTAATAGATTAATAAAGATATCTGTCATCAAGGATACCTTTTTATGATTTCCTTCACTGGGCTGCTTGAGGGGCCTGCCATATTTCTGTCAGACTGCAAAATAATGATTTCAGACCCACTGGGCTGCTCCACGAAAATTATCATCCAAAGGTCTGAAAATAATAATGTGAGATGAAAAAACGTACCTAGCAGGAAGGCCTGGAAATACTCCTTGAACTGTTCTATATCACATCAAACTTACTTTGAATAGAAGAGATTTCCTGCGGGTTTCTGTCAGGTGACTCAACAAGGGTAGAGTCCGAACTAAATAATAATAATAATAATAATAATTTGAGAAAAAGCTGAGAGAAAAAGTGACAAAAAAAATATGATCCATGAATTCATAATATACACTAAAGATATTTAAAGAAAATACTTTATGTTAGTTCAACCTTACCTAAAAGATGATGGATCTTTGAACGCAGCAAGCCTGGGTTCAGCATCTGGCCTTATCCTTTTTTTTTCCAGTCAGGCTTATTGTTGTTACATCACTGGGATCAAAATGATCCGAGCAAATGAAGGAAAATTTATGTACGTTCGCATTTTCCAAGCCCAAAATGGAAATCCACTTTTTCCTTCTTTTCAGATTTACAGGAAAACTACAACAAAAATTATAATAGAACCTAGTAATAGTGTATAGAGTCAAAGTTTATAAAGTTCAAGCTCACAATTCTTACTTCTCAATGCGTAATTTTAAAAATTCAGAGTTGAAACCAATTCTACATTAATCTACTTATCGCAAAACACTTCAAAATACGGTTATATCCCCCTTTTAAGCCTAAACTCTAAACATTAAACCATCAGGTGCTGTATAAACTCGTTTCTGTTGTGAAATAACAACTAATTTCAAATTAGTATTAGCAACTCGATTAGCAATAATTCATTGTGCATTAAGCAATAAGCATTATGAATTATACACTATTATTGGCTAGCTAAACAGGGCCCAAAGTTGAATAAAACTATTGAGGAA